CACACACACACACACACACACGCACACGCACAATTATGTGTATATATATATATATATATATATATATATATAATATATATATTATATATATATATATATATATATATGAAATAATGTGCTTTGAGACCCAGGGACCAAAGGAAGTCGAGAAGTGTTCAGGTTGTACAACATTTACATTTTCCAGTGAGTCAAACATCTTTCTCGGTGCTGGTAAATTCAGGGTAAAATTGGTCTTGCAGTGCAAACTTGAAAGGAAGATACAAGGACTGGAGAGTTTTACTGAAAATGCAAAATGGCTCTTGAGCTTTTGTATTTTCAATAGCATTGGTGGCCCGAAGGTAACAAGGTGTTACGTTACCTTAAGTACCCGGTAACGTTTTGAAATGAACGGGAAAAGGCACAAATACATTGATCCATAATAACATAAACGATAATACATACTAATGTTATGCATACTCAGAGTAAGGATGCATTGGATGATTGCAAGTTTAGTGATGCATGGCTGCGTGCATCTGGAGTTACTCATCACTGAGTCGCAAGTTACCAGAAGCTCTTTCGCCTGGTGGCATTGCTTTATCTGCCCCTCCTTAGCTGTTGCTTGTATTTTCGGAAGATTGTACGGCTGAACGCATGAAAACAACCATAGAGAAACCTTCTAACACGCGCCTGGGTGGACGGTCGAATTCCTCTCGCTCAAGCAGGGGGGCCCTCCGAGATCTGAGAAACTAAGAGAACTACAGATACCAAATTCGCGGGGTGCTTGGCCTGCACTCGAATTCACCTGTGTCACAACTCAAGATTCCTAGGTTATAACCTTTCTAGGTTATAACCTATATGTTATAACCTTCCTAGGTTATAACCTATGGATTCCTAGGTTATAACCTATAAGGTCAAACAAGATCAAACTTCAGATTGGTGTCCAAAGTGCACACCGACCCTCTTATTCAACTACTGTGGACCTGGATGCCTGCTTTACGCAAAAATCGCAGGGTCTAATTTAAGGTCAGTGACCCTTTGTGTCCTTTTGAATGTTATGGTGCCCCAAATCATACAAGACTGCTTTGATTTTTGTGTTTGAATAAGCGTTAAGGAAGACGCTAGACAGCATGTTCCTAAAAAACTACTGGCCCAATTTATTTTAAGTTAGTGACCTTTTCTGCCCTTAAAAAGGAGCATGCGTAATGCGGCTCCTGTTATCAATAACTTCAAAATAAGCACCGGAAGCTATCCAATACTGCACGCTCTAAAGTAATAAAAGAGGTTGGTTTTGACTTGTGTCTGACCTTCGCCCCTGACCTTACCCCAACGAAATTTGTTAACTCAGTTGTTGCGTTGCCTACGAAACTGTCACAGGGGTATATGGCTTTGTCCAACACTCCGTTATTGCGTCATATTGAACGATTCCCTAAAGAATGTCTTCGCTGAATCCACGGCCAGACTTTGACCTGCCTGAGGCCAGTGACCTTATATGGCATACCTACACTTTTGGTACCAAACAATTCTATATTTAATTGTCTACAGCTAAACAAAGTTTACGTGCATACGCCTAACCGTTTGGAAATCGTTTCGAAAAAAAACCTTTGGGGAGGTCAAATTAACCCCCGCCTGAGCGTGTTTTAATAGTCACATGTAATCTATTGTTTTGGTGACTGTCACTCCTTGATTTGTCGTCGAATATGCTAACGAGTGGACGTTTCGCCGCGTTCGGGCAGAGGGGCATTCGCAAATAACCAGCAGTCACCGGTGCATTTCGTGCTCCAATACCCAATCTAGGACGACTACGCCATCGCTGGCATCTCATTCCGATATTCCTTACATGTTTGCTTAGTGGCTTTCAGTAAGATATGTTTGCGTGGTCAGCAGCAGATAAATGGTAAAGCCGCAGTCCGCACGGCTTTACGTCCAAGACGTCCAAGAGTGACGCTCGGCTTCGGCTAGCCTTGACCTGCCTCACGACCAACGCCTCTGATCAACGTTCATTAGTCGTTCCGATGACTATGAAAATTGTGACATAACGACCTAGCATGTTGACGGACGTAAAGCTAACAAGTATGCAAGACTGTATCCATTTTCATGAGAATTTCGTTTTGATGGAAGCTGTTTCGCTGACTGCAATGCCATTGAAAGCCTGCACCCTGAGGAACTGCAACCTGTTGATGGCCTACACCATCGTATGAGATCTATAGCAGTAATTCTAGGCGTACAGCATTGAGCTTCCGCATATATTTGATCAGTGTTGAACATGTGGCTGTATACGCAGAACAATTCAGGGTAGGCAGGTGCGAATAATATTTTGAGTTGAAACAAACCATTGTAGGCTGGGAGCTGACAGCTATGTTGAATGATGGCAAGTGCCAGACATACATTCATTTCCTAACTGTGGTGAGCGGTCCCCATGCACAAGCTCTGAGAAAACACAGGTTTCCAAATAAAATGTATTTGGTACAGAAAACCGATACCTGCATTGTGAATCATGGGTGCACAAAATTACGAATTGACCAAAAACCCACACGTTTTATGCAAAGCTTGGAGAAGCGAGCGCAGCAGGCTGTATCTGGACAACGTCGGTTTGAGCCGGGTATCCGGCCAGTTTGTTACTGCATGACCTGCAAATGCATCATGCGTGATCGGCCACTCAAGCAAAAATAGATGAACTACATCGCCCAGCTTGATTAGCTTCTCCTGACACACCAGGGCCATCCGTTTCCCGAACCATCTGAAACCGTCGGGTGTTGGGTTGGCGTTGGTTTTAAGCTCGCGGAAGCCTCGGCGGGTGAGCAGCCCCCCCCCCCCCCCACCACACCTGTGGGAGGGGGGGGGGAGGGCTCGGCCAGGACAGGTTCGTCTCACGGCACCTCGAAATCTAAGAACGCCGAGGACCACGTGATTCATTTCTAAGCAGCAGCGTGCGGGCCGTTTTGGTGGCGTCTCTCCTGCAGGGTAACGCTTGCGGCTGGCCGTCGTATCAGCCGTAAGCACGATCTATGGCGACAGCGTATCTGTCGTCGGCGCCGACTATCCGAGACATGGCTTGGTTTGTGAAGGTCTCGTAAATGACGCGGTGGGTGACTGTCTGCAGGTCAGTGCAAACGCGACCTTGACGGGACCTTGACTGACCTTGGCTCGACCTCGACATTGACTGGATTTAGACAGGCAGAGTGGTGTTGGCGGAACTGCTCGTGCTGCGCGGGTGAAATCAGAGACATGCGAGCGCGACGCCAAACCGCTGCACCCTGGCCACTGAAAGTGGCCTCCTCGTGCGCTTTTCAGGGCCGTGTCGATCACGCGCGGAAGACGCGTAGGCGAGAGGAGAAGCAGAGCGAGGTGGCAGTCCGCAGGGCTGTGCGGGGCTTGCCTGACTATTCCCGAATGTAGATGGACAAATCGGTTACATCTGCGTGCCAGAAGATGTCGCCATCCTCTCGCACCACAGCCCCCGTTTTAGCAGCGTCGCTGTCCCCGTTAATGGTAATGATAGACGGTCCCGTCGCTGGCATGTACGGCATGGACCGTGTGAAGGAAAAGGAGCTATTACCTCCCTGAGTGATGTTTGCAACGCCAGTACGTGGCTCTGCAGCCATCACCGGCTCGCTGCGAGGGACTTCGTACAAGTACCAGAAATACTCTGGGTTCAGAGAGAATATCTTGAGCTGGTAGGCGGCACCGTCGCCAGATAACCGGATGTTGTCTCTCAGACCCAATATGGACTGCGCGTAGACGTCGGGGTTCTGCCCGGTGTTGTAGGAGAAGACGGTTTGGCGGTCGAAGACGAAGGTTCTCTGGTTACTAAGCAGAAGAGTGAAGCCGGGCATGTCGGTGGACATCCTGCACGCCATTATCAGTGACTTGTTGTTGAGCCAGCCGAACACATAATAAATGAGTTCCCCGAACCTGCCAGCGGCGCCGAACGTCTCGTAGATGACACGGCAGGTGACGGCCTCCAGGTCGGTGCAGACGCGACCTCGGCAGGCATCGCCATGTTCCAGACAGTCCGAGTCGCGCAGGCAAAACTGCCCGTGCTGCGAGCGCCGCGGCATGATCAAGTACCTCCAGTCCTCATTCAGCGTCGGCATCAGGGTGGCATAGCTGGCCACGCTGCCGTACAGCTGGCATTCTCTGGTGGATGGCTTGAAGCTGAGGCTGGCGCAGGCTGGGTCCTGGTGGCAATGGGCGCAACAGACGCAGTTGCCGTCGTCGCCGGGGGGCACGGTGATGTTGATGAGCGCGGACGGGCCGAGATGGCCCCTGCTCCAGGCTGTCCGCGAGCAGGACTCGACCGTCCAGAGGAAGGCGAGGACCACCAGCAGACTGGACCGATCGAAGAAGCAGGGAACTGAGAGCATAGTGAGACGATCACCCGTGCAACTCCCACCTCTTGATATGTGGAACCAGAGGCAGGTGAAGCCGGCGCCCTGGGACTTTAGCACTTCTTCTGGATTGATGCTATGACAGCGTGCGGTGATGCCAGACAGTTTCACCCTCTCCTCGTGAAAGGTGGTGGGCGCGACTGCCGGCCTGGCCCCTAATCGCAGCCTTTATACGGCTGCACTATTGATTTCAGGCGCACAGTCGGCGTGATGTTCCGCGTGCCTGACCCAATCAGCAAATAGTGGCGCGCCTGTAATGCGATTCATAAAGTACAGCAGTGCGCGGTGGACCAGACTTGCGATATAGATGAGTTGGTTTCGTTCGCGATACGAATCGTGCTTGTTCTGTCGCGACACCAGAAGCGGAGGGAGAAAGGAGAAACCGCATGTTTGTAATAATTAATTCCTGCTGGGTGCGGTGGAGCTTGCACAGCAAATATGAAAAGTTGGCTTGTTCACATGCAGCCGGTATGCAACACGTAGGGTGTGTTTCAAAATCACACGCTCTGCTTCACTGTTGGAGCATTGACAAGTCTTGTTTCACCGTCACTCCGTGATAAAATGTTCAGCCCGTACTAAGCAGGCTTGCTGAGTTTGCCGTTTTCAAATTTCCGTTCTGAATAGGACGTTTGTTTTATACCAACGTGTATTACACCAGTTCATTATCACTTGAGTACACCTAAAAGCCAACCATCGTCACCAAGAACATTTTCCTTTACAGAAACAGACAGCTCCAAACCTGTGCTTCCACCGTTTTCAATAATGTACATGTATTGGTCTATTAGGCTGGAGCGGTGAAGCAGTCGAACCACCAGAATGACCGCAGTCGGCAAGGCCTGTGAAGGAGTGGAATTCATCTGCACGCATCCCGTCCTCCTGACCTGGCAGACAGCGTTTTTGATGGTCACGAGCTTCTATCAATGGTGACACCACCTAGACCTGCCATGCTGTACATCGCGGATTTTAATAACGCAGGACGCACGAGTATTTACGTCAAAACACCGGACCAGAGTTGAAACTAGCGCAGGACACAGCTGGCACGGTCGGATGTGGCCAGTGCTATAAGTTGATAGCACCCAGAGTCCCGTTTCCGGACGGTTTGCTGATCCAACCCCCAATCGTCCTGCTTCTAGAAGTGATCACTCCCTTGTGTTCTACTTGGCGTACCTGAAAACGATTGAACATGTTAAACGCCGGGTGTTGATAACTTCGGACACATTAGAAGAGCTTTGGTTAGTTGTGTGCTGAACAAGGTACCTGGTTCGTGCCGGCACCCAGAGAGCAACTTTCTAAGACGATGAGGTGCCAAATATTTCGATCTGAATGTTTTCATAGTCTTCTAATTTGCTCACCAAGTACCGCCTACAGAAAAAAAAACACACGGTGTACACAAAACATTGAAAATATTGACTGAGAACATCACATAACTGATGCTCGCGTCCAAAGAGAAATCGCCGAGACCCATTCGTTCAGCATTCATGACTCATTCAGAATCGAGACTCATTTCCAAACACTGGAAAAGCCTCACATCCCAACGCTGTGATCTCGGAAAGTACCGGACGCACTAAAACATTCCCCTCCCCCTCTCACCGTCTTACCCGCGGTCCTCCCCTTCTCACCCGCAGCCCTCTTCTCTTCTCACCCGCAGCCCTCTCCCCATTCTCACCCGCAGCCGGGCACCAGCTCGGCGTCGACGCAGGTGAGCGAGTTCTCGTCGACGGCCTTGCCCTCGCCGCACTTGGTGAGGCGCGGGTAATAGTTGATGCATGTGACCAGCCGGTCGCACTCGCCGGTGGCGAAGCGCGGGAAAGGTCCGAACCTCAGCGACGCAGAGCCAGCTGGGATCTTGTCGGGGCAGGAGTAGCCCACCAGCTCTGTTCGGGGTGGGGGGGGGGGGGTTTAGTCGCGGGACAGTTCCATGACCCAGCCGGCGTGGCGGCGGGCTCGGTGCATTTTACGACGTGTTCAAACGCTAGCTGGTGTGGTTATTGGTCAGCGTGATCGCTCCGCTGACATAATATAGTGGAGCGTGAAATTGCCAATGCATTCATAGTTTTATAGTTCGAAATGGTTTTCCCATCACTGCAAATTGGTCTGCTGCCGCTGCCGCATGAAAACCCCGAACAATGTCAGATAAAAACAGCGTACCGGTGCCAGCAAGCCCGTCTTTGTGCTGCCACCTATATCAAACAGCCTAGCTCGTGCTGCCACCTACGTTCAGCATCTCCGGGGGAGCACTCGGGCAGCAGGTCGGGCCAGTTGCAGGAGTGACTCCGCTCGTCGTAAGCCAGCCCCTCGGTGCACAGCTCTGGCTGCACCTCGCCGTACGCGCACTTGACGAAGTAGTCAGCGCACCCGTCGCCGGACGGGAACAGGCCGAAGCTGTAAGGGCAGGCGCCGTCGCGCGCGGCCGACACTGAAACGGAGGGTGGCGGGCTCAGCGTGGTTGGTGGCGCCCTCTCTGAGGACTGCTGCCTGCGACGAAACGGACGGGATGGCGGACCGTTGGAAAATGGTTTGCTGTCTTAAACCTATCATGTAAAAATAAACATTGTCATGCACGCATCTGTATGCAAACACTGACCGCAAACAGCCACTAAAAAATATAGCTGTCGTAAAATCAGAACACAAGGAGCATTGCGCACACATGCTTTAGCATTTTTCATGGGGATTGCCCGCAATCAGGCTTCTGTTTGGCAGGTCTGAGGAGCACTCCTCATTCTAATGTACTTCCCTCCGCTGATCTGCGCGCCTTTCATTTATAACTACGTAAGTCTGCCGATTCTGTATACACAACGCCAACACACCAGGAGAACTGGCGGGTAAATAACAATTTTTTGAAGCCTGTCGTTTTGTTGCCGAACACAGCTATGCTTTTTATAATCACCTTCTCCAAACACTCTAACCCTCCAGACTTAGTTTTTGCCGCTTCTGGCATGGAAGCCGTCCCTCCTGTCCACACACAAACGCCGACGCAGCACCATCTTTACTCCCGAACGAAAGCGCCGGGGGCCTCTCCGCCGTCTACCCCATCATGACCGGCCTGACACCGTGACCTCGGTCTCGGTGCTCGGGACCCCGGTCATCCGGGCAGCCTTGGCTCGCTCTCACCGCCCTATAACCGCCGACAGCGGCGAACGGTTCGCCGTCGTGCTCTCGTTCGGGTCACGCACGTCGCATTTGCCCCGCTTTGTTACTCGCTGCCTGGTCTCCGACACGACTCAGGTCGCATGTCAGTTGGGAGGGCTCGTGCATCGCCTTTCGTCTGCCACGAAAACAGGGCTCGTGCATCGCCATTCGTCTGCCGCGAAAACACCTGAGCAGTTAATAGCATCAACACAGGTTGTCTTTATCGTACAGTCCGATGCAGACCGGCTGGGAAGGGCACGTCCACAGTACGTACATTATGTTTGAAGAGCGCTCGATGTCTCGTGCCTCCCGCCGTCTGTCCCTCCGCAGCACTGTAACGACCGAGACAACCAGCTTCCTCCCGAAAACGAGTCGCGACTCAAGCACGTCCAGCTCCGTGCCAGAGCCGGTGTCCGCCAGTGCCCCACCCATCCGGGTCAGGCGTCGCTCCCCCCCCCCCCTTGAGCCGGCCCGGTTTCGTGCCCCTCCCCGCTCCGTCAGCGGCCGCCGCAGGTGAGGCCGGCCCGAGGTCGACCGCCAAGGCTTGTGCCGCACATTTCCGCTCCGCGGGGCCGGGCCGGGCCGTCTCGACCTCAAGGCCATGGGAAGGGCCACGCCCGGTCCAGTGCGTTGCTGGGGTAGCGGCCGGCGGTCCTCGGTTACGAACGGGGTCTCGGAGATCCGCGGTTACGAGCGCGGTCTGAGGGGCTCTTGGTAAAGGGCGGGGCCTCAGGGGCTCTTCGTCACGGCGAGGTCTCGGGAGCTCTTGGTCACGGGTGGGGTTTCAGGGGCTTTTGGTCACGGGCGAGCTCTCAGGGACTTTTGGTCACAGACGGGGTGGCAAGGGAGACCTTGGACACGGGCGGAATCCCAAAGGTTCTCTTTCAGCAACGGCTCTCAGGGGTCTTTAGTTACGGGAAAGATCCCAGAGGTCTCAGGCCAGCGGCGGCTCTCAGGGGCCCTGGGTCACAAACAGTCACGGGCCCGGGCCTCGGCCGTCCATGGCCAGGGAAAGTAAAGGGGTCCTTGGCAGGCAACGCGAACAAAAAGTAATTAATTCTACTGTCTGCTTTTTTGGCTGTCCTACATATGCAAGAGCAAGAACATAAGGCATGCTGTATGTGCATTAGCTACCATTAGCATTAGCTACATTGGGTGAAAGGCGCAGCATACAGCGACACCATTAGCGAGCATGGAATGGCTGGGATGGAGTGGAGTGGAGTGGAGTGCAGTGGACTGGAATGGAATGGAATGAAGCGGAGTGGAGTGGAGTGGAGTGGAGTGGAGGAGAGTGGAGTGCAAGGGGGCGCGTTTGACAGCTTACACCGTGGCGGCCAATTGTTACTGGCAAATGTTTATTGAGGATCAGGCAGGCACGATCGGAAGACCTACCAGCAGAAGCAGAAGGTCGGCCTGCCTGTCCTGCGCCCGTTCTTCACATGCCTGCCGTCTCGCTCCCCCCTCCTCGGGGAGCAGGTCCCGGGGTGGGTCGGAGGAGGCGGCTCCACACCGATCCCCCGTCGGACGGCATTCCATACCATGAGGCGGCGTTTGATCGGCCATAGACAAGGCATGGACCCAGCTAGGGACGGAGCCAGCCGAAGCTCCATGGGCGTAGCCACCGCCAGCTGGGGTTGGTGGGCCCGCGCCCCAGTAGCTTTCGGGTAGATGGAATGGGCGTAACCACCGCCAGCGGGCGTTCCATGGGCGTAACCACCGCCAGCTGGGGTTGGTGGGTCCGCGCCCCAGTAGCTTTCGGGTAGATGGAATTATGCTCATGGTTTAGCTAGACAAAATGGTTTCGAAATAGATATGCGCTCCAACTTTGGATTCTTGCCACGGCTTCTCAGCGTAATCACGTGCGAGCCTCTGATCTTGCCGCGGTCCGCAGAAACGTTGTGCCCCCTTGACCTCCGAAGTCTGAGAGTGTTTATTGAGAGCTAGAGTGCACCAGTGCGCGTTCTTCCCACAAACAGCGAGGCGGGGTAAGCCACTGATCTCTGGCACCGAAGGGGAGCGTCCACACCCCCTACTAATCTGGAGATGTCATTAGACTCGAACCAAGCAACGTTCTATGTACACATCGGCTATGCAGGCGGGTTAAGGAAGATCACAAGCGCTGCAATGCGCTTTGGTTGTGTACAGGGAAAACCACGGCGCCTCCGGAAAGGGGCGCCGTGGTTAAATTTACGGCTAAAAGAGTTCGATCTGGTTTGACGCCGTTAGCGTCAAACCGTGAAGAAAGTCAATCTTCCCAAACGTCACTGGGTTCGTCCGCACTGACCCCATCCGTGGCAACGTCGACACAAGCGACGGTAACGACGCAGGCGAATGCACATTCGAATGCCACGAAGCGACTCATGACTCATGACTCATGTCCGACTCATGAGCAATAGACAATCGGTCGAAAGCGATCAATGCCACCCTTGTCGAAGCCAGTCCCGAATACAAGACGCTTGGACCCGAACAGCGAGATACCGACCCATGGCAGACACACATGCGTTTAGGTCAAATCGTTGTGACCACTATCCACCTCAAAACATGTGGGTTTTTTAATGATTTGATGGTTCCATTCGATTCACTAAGGCCGTAAAGCGTTTTAAGTTGATCCATTCGGGATTCATTGAAATTACCACGGCCAAATAACCATGCTCCCATGCCGGGCAGAAAACGATGCAAATGTGTGAAATTAGCGCAGAGGCGCTGCGTCAGTGAACGGCTGCCTGCTGAACTATCGTGTGAAGGTTCGAATTTCTAAGGCATTGACCAGGCACAATATTATAAGTTCGCAAAGGTTTCCGGTTGTGTGACACTTTGGCATCATCTGCAGTGCGATAATTCACGTCAACAACGTAATGATTGTAATAAAATGATGGCTGAAACCGTTCACCGCTGATATCAACTGGCTCATCACATGCCACAAGGAGCTTTATTGATGCTAAATAGTAAATATTGCTGTTAACCCCATATTTCGTGGCGTTGCATGAAAAGAAGAGGTCGAATATTACGGCCCTCGCCTGCTCCACCTGTCTTCATCACCCCGAGTGTTACCGCTCGGAGCAATACCTTTGCAGTCTATCGCGCCGACCACGGCGGAAAAACCGCAACAAAGCGGGCAACTAGTCCTGGAGCCAGACCGTCACGACCGCGGGTCGTGCCATGGCTGGCTCATGGCGCCGCCAGTCAGTCAGGCCCCACGCCGGGCTCAGCCCACTGACGGCGGGCGGCGCGGCCGTTTGTGACTGCGGCCGAGACTCGGGGGGCCACTGTTCATCTTGATTAAGTTGCCAGCGCGTGAGTCGATTGACCCAGCGCTTGAGATGGCCATTTCGCTCTCGTGCTCCAATCACGAAGCCGGTCCGGCCGCAGGCGCCGCACGATCAGCCCCCAGTACGGGTCCCCTGCCTAAGCACGAGACGGCGCCGGTGCTGCAGGGCTGGGGCCCACCCGCGGGCGTGCGGTCAACTTTTCCGAAGCGGCGGCATCGGGGAGGTGGGATCAGCGAGGCGGTCGGAGCCGGCTCGAGCGTGCAGCGCTGGAATGTCAAGTCCGCTTACCGCCACATGGCATCCGTTATTTACTCGTGGAACTGAAACGAAGCACTCATGCCTCGGCATGGCGGATGTGACGAGAGCGCGGGCTTACGGCTCGGCGACGTGGGACAGCTTGTACGTTATCGCTTCTCGTCATTAGCTTGCTATGAGATGAAGCTGCAGACTGTCCTTGGATCGCAGGGCGTACGACCCAAATGAATCGCACGGCTGCTATGCCGTCAAACCTGTTCACGTCGGATGCTGCTGACCCGTCCACGGCAGCTCGTTGTCTAGGTCTTGCACAACGGGGAGGTTGTTCTCGTCTCATGCCTGCAGCCTTCGGACTTAAAGGCCTGTTCAAGGCTTCAGGCTTACACATGGACCTGTTGTATAGCACGCAAGTATTTAGAAGGATAAAAAAAGCCGGCCTGAACGCTCGTCTGATGTTATGCTGTCCGTTAGGAATATTTCTTCATGTCGCATTCCTCATCAGGATTATGCATAGTAGTCATCAAGTCAGTTCTTACGTAGCCTGGAATTGTATGTGTGCGTTAGTTTATTGTTTCTCGCACAATAGGATTCCGGCACCTATACTTGGCCGAACTTTAGCGTAATCCACGAGCTGCAAATGACAATGTCCATGTTTGGGTAACGATATCTCATTTCTGATCACAATACCTACATGCTCTGTAAAAGACGGGCAGATTTTGTGATGCTCATTCACGGAATTTTGCCATTCGATGTCCAGAGGGGAGTGCATTGCCATTCAAAACGTTATAAAAGTTTTTTTTAATACCTCAAGAAGGTTACCGGTGGAGACGATGGGACAAGCATTTATTTGAACCTCTCTCCTGCCCCCCCCCCCCCCCCCCCACATATATGAGTCTCACACAGCGAGCGTTCGCGACTTTGATTAATCGGTTACTGCTTGATGTGATGACCTTACGTGTACCTTAGATGACCTTATCGTACTTAATGTAATGTGTACCATTAGAACCTCCTTAAACATACTAATAACTTTCGACAGAAGTTTTAATCCAACTACACTGCGCAGCAATTTGTCAACGCAAAAATGATAGGACTAACAACCAGCCCAGTTCCTTTGGCAAAGGCGTAACAGACAACATTGATAACGACGTAATTTAGGAACAGCCTCTCTCATCTCTCTCTCGCTCTCTCTCTCCTCCTCCTCTCTCTCTCTCTCCTCTCTCTCTCTCTCTCTCCGTCTCTCTCTCTCTCTCTCTCCTCTCCTCCTCTCTCTCTCTCTCTCTCTTCTCCGTCTCTCTCTCTCCTCCTCTTCATCCTCTCCCCTCTCTCTCTCTCAGTCTCTCTCCTCTCTCTCTTCTCTCTCTCTCTCTCTCTCTCTCTCTCTCTCTCTCTCTCTCTCTCTCTCTCTCTCTCTCCTCTCTCTCCTCTCTCTCTCTCTCTCTCTCTCTCTCTCTTTCCCTCTAAAACGCATGTACGTTAAAACACCTCGATATGCGCGCAACAAGCGATCACAGCTAATTTAAATTGTACATTTAGACAATTTTTATGGTATTACACTTCTTTGAATGAAATAACATTCTTTATTAAACCTCTTAAGAATTTTCCCGGCTATTCCATTTGATCAGAATGCACTCAGACCTCTTGTGACCTAATGCAAGGCACACATATACAACGTATTCACTCACATGGGTTTAAAATTACACCTGCCCTACCCAGCCCAAATCAGCGTTTCACACAAATGCATAAGGCACTATACACAGCCATTCATTTCTTGAAAGAGCTCCCCAAGTATCAAGGTGTTATAGAATCTGCTTATCATTCACATTTGTTCCATACGAAAACAGTCATCTTAAGACCTCTCACTGTAAGATAAAAGCAAATTTTTCAAGTTTAGCTGCAGTGGGCATTGAAGACTAGTTATCGTTGGCTGGTTTTCATCTTATAAGATGCGTTATAAATCAAAGTTGTGAGCAATGGGCACATCGTTCAGCACGTTAACACTTTGGCGACATTCCTGCAAAGTGGCAGGATTTATATCGTGTCGCATCTGAATATGTCAAACTGTGGAATGTATTTAACCGATGAAAGTTTAAAGGCATGTCAGTGAATACATGAGGTGTGTGTGCATGCATTAGCCTAGTGCCAGTTTAAATATATGAGAGAAAAATGCAGTTGTACAAAAAAGTTTCGAATAACCCTCGCAAAGAAGCGACGATTTAATCCATTGCTTTTGCATCATGAGGATAAATGCATAGGGATGAAGTGCAAATACTAGCAAGTCATCAAATATATCAAACTACATGAAGTCATATTTTGGTAGCTGCATCCTGTTAGTTTATGTGCGCAGTACGTAAACAACGTTAAGGATTTGCTGTTTTTGTAATCTATTTTTCTCGAACGCGTTTGATTAATAATGACGCCATCCACTGTTGTGCGCTAAAGGTTAAAAAGGGGTCTGGCCCGATTAAATACTTATTGGTTGTATCAACAAGCATTTCAACATTCATGCATTGCTACGCACGGGATATAAGTAAACATAGACAATACATGACTTGGGATATATCAGCAGCACATTGGAGACGTCTCTTTCATGTCCTAGGGGGAAAAGAAACTTATAGAGTATCATAGTGAGTTAATGTTTCTTGCACAAACATCATGCTCCTTGCACCAGTGCATGGTGTGCATAGGGGTACAGCCCCGAGGGAGCCTGGGTCACCTTACGTCAGGTATTTTACCATAGACTCGACCAAAAGCCCAAAATGGGCGTGGTGCATAACCATCGAACTCCGCCCCCACCCCACACCGCCCTTAAGAAAATCCTAACAGCGTCCCCGTCAGGACAAAACACGTTACAAGCAGCTCCGGCTTCATACGCCTGAGTTGCGCAAAAGGGAGCGTTACTCCTCGACTCCTCTTAAAATGTATAGTGCAAGTCGTAATCCTGCGACTATCTCCGTAGCAGGAGGCGTACTCACGTTCGAACGGCCGATCTCCGCACTCGACCCGCCAGAAGTAGTCGCAGTTGTCGTGAACGGCGCCGATTCCCGAGAAGAGCAGACCGTTCTCGCAGCGTTCCTGGGTGAGCGTGCCGTTGGCGCACTTGAAGTACTGAAACGAGCCCGCCACGGCGGTCAGGACAGTCGCGCAGCCTCTGAGACATCGGAGCAGCCCTGTGGTCTCTGAGAGCTAGGACAGGCCTGCGGCCTCTGATACATCGGACAGGCCTGCGATCTCTGAGACACAGGGAAATCTCTGCCGTCTCCACGTATCACATCAGCGCGCAGATACTCGAAATGCAAGTATTTATACAATTCATCTCCACGAGCTAAAGCCAACCATGATGCAAAACACTCCAAGTTTCATGCATTCTCGTTCCAGGGGGTCAAGACTGATGCCTCGGAAAAGCGAGCCGATTACGGCTGCGATCAATCCAGTCATTTCCTCAGCCGCAAATAAAGGAATCTGGCCCCGTCAGCGATGCCAGAGAGGCAATATGCCAGAGAGATAGCTTCCCGTCGGTCATGCACCGGCTGACGCCGAGGGTCACTCACGCTGTCGCAGCTGTACGGATCCGGGTAGGTCTGCAGACCCTCTGAGTACTCGCAGCTGGTGATCTGGCCGGCAGCTGGAGACAAGGACAGATGGTGGGTCAGAGACTTCCTGGCCTTGGCTGATGAAAGGAGGGCACGGCCCCATTCAAGGGGCAAGCTGAGCCGTCTGGCAACGCTGGCTGAGCCGTCTGGCAACACGGGCTGAGCCGTCTGACAACGCTGGCTGAGCCGTCTGGCAACACGGGCTGAGCCATGTGGCAACACGGCTGAGCCGTGTGGCAACACGGGCTGAGCCATGTGGCAACAAGAGCTGAGCCGTCTGACAACACGGACTGAGCCGTGAGGCACCACAGTGCAGGGGAGCAAACACCGCCCTTGGTATCCCGATCAATGCCTCTGCATGAGCGGATTCCAGGCAGCAAGACGACACAAGCTCATCCCGATGCCTGATCCCCGTACTTGTATAACCGTTGAGGCACATGATCTGCAGGCTATTATGCATGCAATAATTATGGTGTGCATGTGGTGTACAAACATTTTGCACCCTTTTTAAGACGTCACGTAGTCGATATCACGCCCGTTATTCAGAGTGGGTTGACCGTTGCTAAAGCGAGTAACTGTTGTTTCGGTAACGTTATTCTGTGATGACCCCCGGCTGGAGCTGGGCACGGCAGCCTCTATGCAGGAGAGTCCGAGTGTCAGCGTTACTCTGCCATGGCCACCGGTGGCGACACGGCTCTGCACGTTCTCATGAGGCGCGGCTTGAATGCCGGCCGGTTCAACAGTGCCAGACATCGGCCCGATCAAGGCCCTGCGGCCAGATGAATGAAACATGAGCAAGAGAGGTTGTGGTGGTCAGAGCATCGTTCCAGCGTCGCAACATTATGCTGCAGTATGTGCGGAACAAAGACAGTGGCGGATATTGCTGATAGAAGCGGCACCTTGCGATTCTGCGCACGCTTGTTCACGATGTCTACGAAGCGGTTCATTACAACCGAAAACTGGCGGCGTGTGAATTTTGAGCCGGAAATTTGGTTTATAGACACAGGCCAGGCTAAATGTGCTTTTGATCTGATTGTCAACCCAGAGACGCGGTCTGTTTTCGTTGGCGTGGAGACGAACTGTCCTTCCTTACAACTCAATAACGGCTCGCATTGCACGGTTTCTCAGGTCATTAATGAGCATGCAGCCACGGAATAAAATTTGCAGCTATCTCCTATGTAGGCTGTGATTAGCAACAATCACTGAGCAGCCCACACAGTCATGCAAGCTTAACACGGCAATTGGCACAGTTTCGGGCAAGTGTAAGCTGTCTGCCTTGTGGGCGTGTTGCAATGAAAATCCGACCACCCAAACGATCTGGAATGTAAACGTCTACCGGCGTGATTTATTAGTTTCTTCCACCGTCTTGGGTGGGATAAGCAAAAGCTTTGTATATGAGTTTACAGCACGTCCAGTCCTGGTATGAAACAACATGTTGAGACACTTTCCAACACTGCTGGTTCCCTGATGCAGTCCAAAGCCCAAAACGTAAGCCAAAAGCTCCTCTCAGCACTGCAGTGTTGTAAGCGTGCAACTGTATGGGTTAAGGATCGGGCCTGGTCATGGTTTACATCGGCGCCTCACGCTGCAGTATTAAATTGTTCATCAGCTGACATCGTTAAGACTTCAGACATCAATAATCAGAGAACAGGAATATCTAAGGGACATCTTCTCGTCTTAACTTCAGCATAAAATAATTGTGATAACAACAGAAGACGTCGTTCAAACATCGGTCTGTCACACTGATGGCACGATACTGACACATCGAGGCCATCCCGACGAATTAGCCAGCGATGGCCGTTTCAAGGTGGAGTTTTTGCGTGCTGTTTGGCGGTTGGTCGACATGGCGGCTGGATATGACGTCTTAATACAATAAGAATAAGACATGAAGTTCAACTTTACCCTAGGCCCAGTCACGGTGTGGTCAGACATACAGGCACAGAATTATGCGGAATGCTCTCTAATCATATCGTTTCTTTCACCCATATCGTTTCATTCCCATCACCCAACTTGACCTGTGCTATATCGGCTTCTTTTCCACCATCGTGTGCGTTGTCTCAGTCAGTTCCACGCCTTCTCTCCATTCCATATCGCGGCGGTCTCCCGTTGCCCCGATTGTCAGCGGATGGAATGTTGGAATGTTTGTTCGGACTACCGTCGTCGTCTGATGTGCTCACATGGACACAACGTTTCGGGCAGGTATTCTCCGACCGTTGTCAGGTATTATTGAGCCGCGAAAAGGACTGAACGGCGCTTGGCCCTTACCCATGCAGGCGTTACAACCCAAATTTTGTCATGGGCATTGTTGTGATTCGAACCGGGCGTTCTAATTAGCAGTCCAGCGCTTGACCACTGAGATAACCGCAAAGGAGATCCAGTGGTAAAGGGCTGGACTCATGTTCAGAAGACCTCGGTTCGAATCCCAGCAATGCCAAGTAGACGATTTCGGCTGTGACGCGTGTGTGACTGACCGCCAAGCACAATCCAGCCGTTTTCGGGACTCACTGGGACCTGACAACGGCCGGAGAGTTGACTGGTTGAAACGTTGGGTACCTACTAACACGCGAGACTATGACCGTAGTCCGAACAGTTATTCCATCCGTGGCGCCGACGCCTCGCCCCAACCATTCCGTAAAACACTAACCAAATGTCCCTCTTTCCCTACTGGCTACCGCATCCGCCAACGGCCGTGGCCGAGACGCCCGCACCCTCACGGTCCTCACATCCGCCCCGTCCCTGCCAGCCGTGGCCGCCCCATATGCGGTGGCGGTCGGTGGCGGTGGCGGTGGCGGCCGCCGCGCTGGCCTGCCGTGGGTCCTCAAGGTCGCGATGACGTCTGGAGAGCGCCCGCGCCGTCCGCGGGCGTCGCCTGGCGCCGCCACTTTCACTTCTAACGGGCCGGCCGACCCCGCCCGACGCCGCTCGTAGCACGGGGAGAGGGTACAGCTCTGCCTGCTTTGGTGGAAGCAAGGTGCGCGGCGGGGTGGAAAAACGGACCGCTCGCGCTCATCTTGCTCCCAGTTTTTCGCCTCGCTCTTTCTCCCAGGCACGGAGCACGGTTCCTTCAATACTTCGTAGGCTCACCTTCCTCCGATATTCATCTTTTAGGATTATCGTGTAGAGCAACGTGCCCATTGGATTGCAGGCGAGCATCGGTCCCCCACGACGGACAATTTCCCAGTAGTCCAACTTAGCACAAGCACGGTAGCAATGGATCAAAATCCGTTTGCGTCTCCTCCTCTCCGCCGTCTTGGAGGTGTCTGTGTCACTGACCCGGCCACCGTGGCAGCGCAGGAGAGAAAGGAGAGCGGAATGAAAGGCTGCGCTGTGTGCGGTAGACCGATAAATGCTGCGACCCAGTTTCCCCTCACTGAACGCAGACCGAGAGGAGCTGTGCAAGAACGTGAGCGTTCCTCCCCAACGACTTTATCTAGACATATGATTGCTGTGCAGCGCTAGATACCGCGCTGCGCTCTTCGATGTCATCTTTAGGACTTTTTGATCCCTTCGCAGGAGCAGCAGAGATCCGTTAAGCCGCCGGGCAGGCTCGAGTCAGCGTCCATCGCCCCCTCCCCTTCCCCCCACGAGTGCGCGACGACTAAGAGCCACTCGCAACGTGCGATTGGGAATCGGGACAGGCACCTTGCAGAGGCGGATCCGGGGTCAGAACTTAGGGGAGATTAACTTGCAGAGGCGGATCCAGCGTCGAAACCTAGGGGAGTCCAACTTTAGAGAACGGTACAAGTTCCCTCAGGGCTGGGCCTACGGGAACGGATGGGGAGGTGCTGCATATCACGAGATAGGGCTGGGGGAGGCGTTACATACCTGAGGGTGCTGCCGTATGTGGAGGGGGGGGGGGGGGGAGCGCCCTCAGATCTGCCCGCCGTACTGCTGCCCCGTGCTCGCCGCTCAACACGAGCAGTTCAAGGCTGTGCTGGCACGGGGCCGGCGGCCGCCCTTCGCAGCTGTGCCCCACGAGCTTTCGGCGCGCTCAATATTCACAGTGTCTGGCGTCCATGAACGTGCCAGTGAACACAGGCGTCAAGGAAGGCTACCGCCCGGGGAAACACTACGGCTATACTACTGATGGGGTGATGAGATGGCTAGCGTGATAATGTTGGGACCGTATGTCTTGGCTACAAACACAATCGGTCACTGTCATGATAAGGCAGCACTGGGACCAGACGGCTCGTTTTGTATGCAGCCCACCAGGGTAAGTACGCTGTACTGGTAAACGAGAACCATAAAATCCGACGAGTGCGCAAGATGGAACTGTCAAGCAAGCGCGGCAAATTGCCTAGCAGTAGGTGCGGGCCTACACTTCTAACGGTTGAGGACGATTGCTTGATTGCAGGATTGCTACGCGCAAACGTCACTTTGTTGAGCGTTTATTACAAAATGTTCAACGACGTTAGACGGAGATATGCGAAAGTAGATCATATCACAAATACCAGATCTCTGCATGATCCAATCAGCCAAATTGCCACTCGAACAGCTCGAAGAAACGCTCCAGCATGGGTGGAACGTTTGCGCTATTGAGGGAAACTGCATCCTATTTCGTTGTATTCATGAAAAGCTTGCTCCTTCGACCCGCGTTCCTACCAACAGGCATCTTTATAAAACAAAAGTAAAAGTTAAAACTCATCGCAAGTTGCGCATTCAAATCTAAAACATTGTAGAAAAGTGGGCGCATATAGCCAAGCAGCTCTCAAAACCTAATAACTGACCAGCAAACTCTAAAAGCCAAGTAACTAACCAACTAACTAGCAGAAATGTGTACGCACAGCGCTCAGCTTCCACTGGGCCGCCCATGGTGGCAGCAAGCGTGCGGCCGCCGCTGTACGTTACCGTACGAATTAGGCACACCTCTGCGACGGATTAGCTGCAGCAATCCCACAAACCGGAGGCCGCGGCCATAGGACGCTCAATGTACAGCGAGATTGGCAGCCGGCGCTCTGTTGCAACAGGTCTCCGCCGTTGCTTACACGGCTTGCATTCCTTGGAGTCGCTAGTGGCAATTGTGCCTCAAGTGGTGGTTGCAGATCCGGGAGGATAAAATGTGGGATGGGGAGCCACCAAGAGGCGGAGAATGCAATACTGGAGCCTTTAATTTAAAAAATGAAATTGACGCGCGGAACAGATATTCACAAGCACATGTACTAGAAAGTAAACCGTAGTCAGCCGCATCATACACTAAAAAATTGCGTGAGGGGCATCAAACCAAAAAATATATCCCAAGCAAATATATGCCTCCAAACCAGTAGGCAGGGCTCAAAATTTTACCTAAAAATGTTATAGCATGCCACAGTTTGGTGACTTCCTAGCACGACGTGAGGTAACTTCTATTGTTTCAGTGTTTTTATTTGTATGTGACGAACACGGCCATTGGAGCATCCACATCGCTTGCATGTATCTTGATGCATGTCGAAAATTACATAAGCAGGGAGAGGGCGGGCCCCTAATGCCCTTGTGCTTTATGGGCGCGGTACTGGCCATTATTTTATGGCAGTGCTCTTGTTTACAGCGCTACGAACAATGACAAGGTAAAAGTGACCAAATTTGAGATGCCTGAGGTTTTCAGCTTCATTGGGCCAAAAAGTTGTGTTTTACTCAAGTTTCTATACCTTCTAGAAACGAAATTCGACAAACTTCTTAGTACTGCCATCCCTTTGTTCAACTCTCTTAATTTTCAATCAATGTCTTTAATTTCCTGACATATCGGGTATACAACTGAATTCCCAAAATTAAGCACATTTCCATTAATACATGGAAGTATGACTCAACACGCCCCATCTGCTCTGATTCCATGCCACCCTGCAGCACGGCATAGCTTGCCATGCAGCTGGCCGGCAGCACCGCAGCACCGCCGGATCACCTCAGCGGCAGCTATTCGGCAGCGCTGCCGCACCGCCGGATCTCCCCAGCACGCCGGGGAGATTGACGCGCGAAAGGCAGCACCACCGCGGGAGTCGGCCGCGAGCCGGGTCTCGCACGAGCGCGCGCGGCCGCGTGACGGGCGCCCGGTGCGGTGGTGGGGATTGCGACAGCGCTGGGGACGGGGGCGGGCGGGCTCGTTGGCCCGAGACGGGACGGCTTGCGAGCTGAGGATGCAGGGGAGACGGTGCCATGGAGAGCCTCGGGGCCGGCCGCGATGGTCGGGGGATGGGCGGTGGGTGGTTAATGAGGTGTGGATGTGTGCCCCACGCGACCTTCCAGGGTACGTCATGGGTGATCCCTTGCTTTACTCTACGTGCGGGGAATCAGACAGTCGCTCAATGCTATTGATAAAGAGAAAATATAAAATTCACGACTATTTTCGGTCAACACGGGAGCCGCTACACGCTACCGGATGGCGATGAGCTCCCACTTCAGCACTTGCCATCGTCGACGACGACAATTTCCCATCAGATGGGTCCCTGGGCCATCAGCTCGCGTGAGCAGCACCAACTCAAACCCACGCAGGCGCGCAATATCGCGCCGGTCCGTCTTCGACTGCCCTGAGCCGAGCGGGCGGTTCCTCTGCGCCGCCTCGGCGGCGGGGCCGCGCGAGCCCGGACTCACCAGAGGCCAGCAGGGCGGGAAGCACGATCACCAGTCGGAGAGCCATGGTGCGGCGGAGTTGAGCGCAGGGAGGAGACTGGCGCCCGGCTCTGGCAGCGGCAGCCTCCAAGGGCGCGCCTCCGCCGGCCGCCCGCGGCCACCACGTGACCGCCGTCGCGGCCAGGTATCGGGGTCACGTGGCGGCCGGGATCGCACGCTGGAGAGAGGGCGGGGAGTGCACCGGGACCATGGAGAGGGCCTCCCGTCGCCGCCCGTGGCAGCGCCGAGCCCGTGGCCGCGCCCAGGCGTCGCCGAGTTTTTTCCAACAGGGGCGAGCAGGTATGTGGTCCCAAGCAGATCTGGCCGTCCACCCCAATCCCTCTCAACGAAAATGCTCTGATTTTGCCCACTTTTAAGAAGGGCCTTTAAGTTGGGTATATACTTGGTCAAACCTCTTGTTTGTCTGGTGGGGCCCCCAGTCTCTCCAAACGAGACTTCGTATTGAGCTGGATGGTCTTGTTGCGTTTTCATGGGGCCTCCTGTGAGTCGCATGGGGCCTCCTTTGAATCGTTGAGGCCTCCTGCCGGTTTATAGCCTAATAACCTGTGGTATGGGCCTTCTAGAATCTCCTATGGGAAAATATTGTCGCCTGGAATATAAAGTCGTCGCTTTCAGTGGCGTACTTTGGATTAGGCAGAATGTATTGTTTAAAATCACTCGGCGCCTCTGGTCGACGTAGTTGAACCTTCTAAAATTGCAACGGGCGAAAGAAAGATACACTCCTTGGCAAATAACAACAGACGCCTGCTCCGCCCCCCCCCCCCCCCTCCCCCACCCGCCTCGCCCCCTGGTGGCGCTACCTCTGCCCGCTGCAACCAAACCGTTGTATTCTGCTGCCATGAATGACTTTGTTGTGGTTTTTAATTGTCACTGCCTACATTAAGGTAACCAATGCAAGGATGATGAACGCGTACATTGCAATGTTCTGTCGACTGCCACTGGCAGTTGGACAGTTAGAGCTGCCACTTTTAATCCCGCAGGCCTGCAAGGCGCCGCCAAAAAAGTGCACAGTGGTGTCAAAATTGTTAGCATGCTTATCTCAGCTTAGCATGGTATGCACTCTCAATGACAAGCATGATTTTGACCATGCACATAAAAACGTGATGAATGACAGAAGTGACTGATTGAACATGATGACAAGCATGATGACTGACTGACAGCAAGCACTAGTGAGTAGGCACTTGATCGAACATAGCATGTCTGAGTTGGTAATGACCAAACATGTGTTCTGATTAAACGTTCCGGGTTGAAGTTAAGACGCTATGCAACCTTCTTAAACCGGCGGCATTCAACATTTGTTCTAGCTATATTTTCTCATGTGCCATATTCAGCGACTTAATAATGTCTCTCCCAAAACCTAGACATAATATACCCAACTGGGTATTCAGATCAGGGTGTCAATCTTCGTCTACCACCACGCCCTGAAATGAGCCTGAAGCCTTCAACCTCTCCAGTTTGTTTGAGGTAATGAACGCGCACCAGCATAATGCTCTTTACTTTTGCTCTTTTACTTTTGTTTTTCATGCGTCATCATCGTTGGTACCTTTGTGCTGTTGCATTTGATGTTTGTGTTTCATTCTTACACCTATTACAAAACATTTTTCGTACTTGGTTTACTGGAAGCTTTCGTCATAATTCGAGCATGTCACCTACCGCCATCTGCTTAAAAGCAATATGAAAAAAGTCGCAATCTTAAGCCCACCACGGGCAATTCCCTCTCATGACAAGGACTAAGCTAAATGAACATGAAGTTCTTTAGCTTCTATTCTGCTCTCAGCAGTGACAGCGTGGAGGCATTCTGGCGTACGTAATACATGAAACAGGCATTTTTCCAACGGTGCGCAATGGATGTAGTGAAGAGGTAAACCAATATGCCGCCTCCATTTTTGTTTACCGGTATCTCAAACGCTGGACAAAATCGAGCTTATAAGCATAACACAGCGCAAAAATTGTCCCCTTCCTCGCTCCGGATAGCGTACGCCAGCTGAACCTAGCATTCCTACCGACCTTACACCGAAAATGATTGCTCTGTCACCCCCGGATGTGACTCTCAAGTTCGTGAAGGTAAGAAACCGACCTCGCATTGACTAAAGAATATGCAGGCTCTACAAAGTTCAGTGAGGTATGTTACCTCGGGCAACAGCTTTTAGCCTGCATTGCCATTCTCCGTAGCAAGCTGGTATGGTTACCCAGGTTCATATCTACATATTGCGTGATGGACAATAGTCATATACATCTGGCAGTTTAGTGTTGTGTGCACCCCATATTTTGGCTCAGCTCATAAAAAAATATTTGTAGGGTAGAGTGTAGCTTGGCGTGTAAGCAAAAGACTGGCTAGGCACATTCCATATATTTCTTTTTTGACAAATATGTAGCTTTTGGCTAGGCCAGAGGCTGACTGAGCCCACTGAATACATTTTTTTGTGTGAATAAATTTTGTGTACGTTATTAAATGAGCATGCTTTTCTGGCTATTCGTTGTTGCTGAACATTTGTCATGTTAATATATAATGTATGGGATTGGGCCTATAGAAATGTGTATAGTATGAGAAAAGAAGCAAATAAAGTTAGGTTTGCGGGCTTAAATATTTTTCTGGAACATTTTCACGCCGGGCGGGCAGGATTTTTATCAAGAAGTGGCAGCTCTACGCCGTATAGTATCAAGAAGTGGCAGCTCTACGCCGTGGGATTTTCTCCTGTTCCACAGCCTGAAAGCGTTGACGTTTACATGAGCTTCGTGTCTATTGTGCATGACATTTTGTATTGCATTTGGTTACATGGCCGTTAGGTGTTTACTCTTCCAGAAAATAAGAACTCCATTTGTTGTACAAAGTAAAAAAAGTGATACACTCAAGGGAGTGTACAGTTTTTCCAAAGGGAATGGAATCCGTGCTTTCAGTAGAATGAGTTACATGTAATTTACAGCGAATTCAAAGCTACTAAGTGTCATTTAATCACTTACTTTATGAATTATTAACGTAAGAACTTGCGAATCATTAACATAACGAATTATTAACCATATTCTTCATTAAATTTCAAAAAATTAAACAACGCGCTATTAACGTAAGAACAGGTAAGGATGGTGGAACGACCACTTCAGTACACAATGTCTGTTGGCCAAAGCTTTAATCTGAAGCATTATTTTGTTCACACCAGGCTATTCTCAGGTCATCTGTAATACCCCTGTACTGACAACAGTATGTCGAACATATCTCACCCCATAAATCAGTTTTACGAGAACAGCAATGCGGTCGCATTTAACCTTCAATGTGGATAATCGCTCTATTGAACAAGTTAGGGTCATAGCTCCGCTTTCACAGAAAGACCTCAACCATTCCCATAAAACAGCTATTTTTCCGACCCTGCGGAAAGCAATGCTTCCACAACATCCATTAGGGAAGACATCGAGGTATTCCTTCGCATGTCGCAGGCTGCGTCGGCTGACCGTATTCCCAGACGGCCAGACTGTTTCCTGCGCCATTTCCAACCAGCCCGTTATGGCGGTCAAGCCGAGGGCGGCCGGACGGTAACCCCGCCCGAGCGTGGAAGCCTGACCAGTGCATACCTTCCAGTTTCGCCACCGAGTCGTGAGAAGCCGCCAGCCCCGCCCGCGCGGGTCAAGGCGCCTGACGTCACGAGGTCACTGTGACGTCACCAGGTGCCTACAGTCGGCACGGGTCGGTCATTCGTCCAGGTGTGCATCTCGCGGCAGATTGATAGATCTCGTGAGCTCACCTGTTGCCCCTCCATTCATTGATTCATTCGTGATCTCCCTCCCCCACTTCGGTCCACCTGGCGTTAGACACGGCCCGGGTTGGGGCAGCGAGGGGCGAGGGCAAAGTGGCCTTGTAGGGTACTATCTTGATTCAGCTGGAGAACGAGTGAATTGGTGATCTGGATTGGAAGTTGAGTTGCACTTTTGGGCTAATTTAGCAATAACGCGATTCATCCATGATTTTCTTAACTAATATGGCGATCAAAAACTCGAAGCAGGCCGAACTTATCAAAGATGCTTCAACCTATCAAGCAAGTTATCTCTGCAAAGAAGCAAAACACCACTCATTTTACGACATCCCACTTAGAATTAAGTAAGTTGATAAATGCTTTTGAGAGGAACATTATACATGCGAATAAGGCAGTACTAATAGCCTTATTCCTCACAGAAAAAACAAAACAGGAGAATGGACAGACAGATACATTGGTATTTCAGCTACATACTTTTATCGAAACGAATATCATTATTTGACCATCGATATCTTTATCGAAGCGAATATCGGCGGTGGAAAGCTGATATTCGTTTCAGTAAAAAAACGTAGCCAAAATATGAATGCACCTATCTCCCAATTATTCCGGTTATTCCACGAGGAATAAAGCCATTAGTACTGTTTTATTTGTCCCGCTAGAACACATCAAGTAGGCCTCCCCAGAGCCCTGGCCGCGTGCTTCCGAACAGGCTCTCCCCAGCGGTTTTCGCCTCCGAGCAGCCTCTCCCCAGCAGCTGAAGCGGGCACACAGACAGTCGCTACAATCTGATCCAGCGCGACGAGTCGTCGGCGTCTGCTGAAGGCTTTACAGCTTCGATACCGATCAGACTGTCTGTCACCGGGCAGGCGGCTCCCACGGAACACACCCGTCACCCTTGGCCAGCGCAGGGGCGGAGCCAGCGGCTCCGGCGGGAAGGCGGTTCCCATGGACTACACCCGTCATCCTTGGCCAGGTGCAGGGGCGGAGCCAGAGGTTCCGGCTCCGGCGGACAGGCGGCTCCCGCGACACACAGCCGCCGCTCTTGGCCAGGCACAGGGGCGGAGCCAGAGGCTCCGGCTCCGGCGGACAGGCGGCTCCCGCGGCACACAGCCGTCGCCCTTGGCCAGGAGCAGGGGCAGGGCCAAGAGCTCCGCAACGGAAGAGGCGGCAAGGGGATATCATGTTATGACCCAGTTAAGGTGCATGAGCCAGGAAGTTATGCCGCTGAAGGACCGTTCGGTGCTGGGGTCAGGTAGTGGTGGATATTTAGTGTTAATGCGATTATGAGGCGTCATATACCGTAAATCTTGTGTTAAGAT